GCATTCTAAACACCGGATCGAGGGATCCTTCGAGCCATGCCTAATAAGATTTTTCCATGTTGTGGAGTCCGAATGGAAAAGGACCCGACTTCTTGAAAGGACTCTGAGTGTTTTCTGAGTTGAATCCTTGATAAGCCGAGGCCGCATTCTGGAACCCTATCGAAAAAGAACTTGGTTTCTCGAAGGAACTCGAGTAAGACTCCATCTTGGATGTGGAGCTTGAATTTGAGTCGGATACGCAAAACCATGAAATCTGAGTTGGATCGATCATCACGAGCTGCGTGAATCTTCCGGCGAGTTGATTTGTCGTATTTGTCGAAATAGAAAGGTATTCATGGTGATCCGAATCTTCAAGGAGACGGCTTTGGAGCTTGCCATCGTCGCCACCTCGCAGATCCATGAACCGAAGATGAAGGTTGATCCCGTCGAGAAGATCATGTTGTCGAGGTCCGTCGAGCTCTCGGATGCAAATTCGCCGAAAGCCCCTACCTAGTGCGCCAGCTGTCGATGTTTACCACCGATAGCCTACTATGGGGGTACCCAGGGCAGTTTGTTCGGGCTTCAGCGTATGCAGAACTCGACGGTTAACGTAAGGGACAGTCGATTTATCCTGGTTCAGGCCCTCGACCGTGATCGAGTAATAGCCCTACATCCAGTCGGCGTTAGCCTTTGCGTTGGATTGATTGTCTGTTCTCTCTCTCCAGGAACCCCGCCCGCCTTTATATAGTCAGGAGGCCAGAGTCCTAGTCGGTTTACAATGAGAGTTCCTAGTAGGATTACAGAATAATACTACTACTAAGATTACATGAAAAAAATCCTAGTTAGACTAGATCTTCTCTCTTCCTTGTGGTGTATCCCGTGGGTCCCGCGTCGACAGCGGCCGCGGCGGTGGCTGGGGCCCATGCATGCGCTGGGGGCGGTGCTTTCTTCTCTATCGTCCCTCCCCTCATGGCCTTGGCTGCTACGGCTCAGGGGCTGGCTGTGCCCGGGGTAGCGACCTCTGCCGGCCAGCTTGCCCGCGGCGGCCGGTCTGGTGGCTAAGACGATGGGCCAGCCCATGATGGTGTCTGCAGCTATGGTCAAGACGGAGGCGTCGACGTCGGCAGAGGGCGCCGGATTCGGGGCCTGGCGTCCGGATTCAGCGGCCCCAGGGCATGGGGTGGAGCCCGACATGGTGGGGCACACTAGCGGTGATGACGGCAACGACATCAGCAGGTGCCAGAGCCGACGACGTTGGTCAAATGCGGCCTCGGCGTGTGGCGGTGTGACGCGAGCGGCAGAGTCAGGTCCGGCTCTGCGTGGCCCGGTCGGAGGGGGTGGCGGCCGACGCAGCTATGAGGCTAGTACGTGCAGCCGGTGCTTCGATGCCTCTCTATAGGGGCTTCCGTGGGGCGTTGGGACAACGGCGATGGCGATGAAGGCTAGCACGGGTCTGGCTTCGCGACCTGACGATTGTGCTAGAGGGTTCTTGGGCGAAAGCCTTGGCGATGGCGACGCCGTTGGGCGCCGCTTCCCTATTGGGGGCGTCGTATTTCCCCACTAGCATGTCTTCCAAGGGTGAAACCCCAGTTCACTTTGGACGTGCGACGGTGACGCCTTGGCGTCCCCTTCCTGAATGCGTCGCATTTGGATTATTGTCGCTGTTTTGATGCGGGGCGATGGTTTGCGTTCGGAAGTCGGAGCTGCTCTTCGGTGTTTGAGCTTGGCAACGATGACCGGTGGCGGCCGTTGGCTTCAGACCCGTCGGGGGGTGACTAGTGGGTGGCCTGCCATGGGAAGTCGGAGCTGCTGGCAGTTTGGCTTCCATGCTCGGCAACGATGACCCATGGCAGTGTGTCGTGTTTGTGCTCAGCTGCATCGTGTGGGGTGGTTAGCCCCTTGGGTGCCTTTCTGGCATCTCGTCCGGCTAATCTTCTTGTACATAATATTCTTTCGGCTTAATTGAGCGGCAGAGCTCCTGCTTTGTTTCAAAAAAAAAAAGAAAAAAGAGGGAGGGAGACTGTAATTTTAGTCTAGGCAGTGAAAGAGGGAGGGAGACTGTAATTTTAGTCTTCTCGTACTAATTTACGGTATTGTGGACACTACCAAACTCACACCGGCTGGTTATACCTCAAGTCAAGATACAAATATCGGAAAGATCAAGCCTGTAATTCTAGTCTTCTGGTACTAATGTACTATTAGCACTAACAACTGAATGACGACTTGCTACTTGCTAGACAAAGAACGTGTAGATTTTTCTGTTAATCGACATCTTCTACACCAGAAAATACGACTTAGCTAGCCTGTTGGAAATAGATATCGTGGAATTTTCAGTTAACTAACATCTAGATCTAGTAAAGGTAACTTGTTACGAAATGTTTGGTTAATCATACATGCTAATTTAGGATAATTAATACATAATATTATTTTTCATAAATAATGGCATTAGGTCTACAATTTAGATGAGGATATAGGGCGTTTACTGTCGGCTATTTTTCAGTGACAGATATGTTAAATTTAGGGTTTAATTCTCACAATGGCAAATGTGAGTAATATTTTCTGAAAATGGATTAGTATGGAGACTTTGAAAAAAAAAGTCTCTATAGTTAGTAATATTAATGAGATAACAAAAGAGAGTAAGTACTAGTAATAAGATAATAAAAGAGAGTAAGCTAACCCATTAAAACTCATGAGGAAGGAGAGACTCTGTGCAAGCAAATGTCCCACAAGTAAAATTTATATTTTCTAAATGACATTACCTTTACTTGTTACGGGTCATACTGCAGGTCATGGATGTCGAACAAGAATTTCGTGGAATTTTCAGTTAACTAACTTCTACTTGTTAACCGAGGCAACCTCATTTCTAGGTCCATGTCCCATGAGGGTAGGAGAGCAGTGACGGGACCAGAATTTTTAAGTGATATAAACACAAATCAGCATGAACTTATCAGACCGGCTTATCAGCCATGGTACAGTGTTTTTCTCTCACAACAAATCAGCATCAGCCGGCTTATCAGCCGAACAGCTTCAAAATTTTTGAGTTCCACCTTGCCTGGGATATTCATGCTTATTGGTCGGTTCTTCATTTTTCAAAGATCTATTAGAATCTACATGAAAACACTTGGGTGTTGCATGGTCATCCAGCTGCGCGTGGTCTTGCAGTATGTTGGTTGCTAGCACTACTCGCCGATGGACCGCTCCATTGCTTAAATATCGGTTGTTGTTATACTCTTAACCATCGCTTGCGCAGTACACCGACTGTAGGCCTAATCTAGGGTTTGAGTTTAGACAAGGAATTAAGTAGATGGGGGCTAAACATGGTGATCGGTTGCAAGAATTGAGACAGAGATAAAGGTTGCATGGTCATCTGGATTGGCACCAAAAATTGGTGCGTCCACCCAAGACGACAGGACAAAAAATATCGGCACATGGTCAAATTTAGATGACCAACAAGAAGGGCCGGTGATTGTGGAGACCGATTGCAGTTCGGTATGTGCGATGCTACAGCGGCCAACAAAAGACCGGTCTCGGCTTTGCTTTATCTTAGAGGAGGTGCTTTACGTTAGTCGGGTGGAGAGTTGTCCACTTGAGAAGAGAGAGTAATTGTGCTGCCCATGAGCTCGTGCAGCTGGCATTGAGAATGGGCTACTCGGCCACTTGGTATTCGGTGGTGCCACTATGTATTGAGCAAATTATTGCTCAGGATTGTAATAACTTTTCTGAGTAATAAATGAGCCTCTCTTTTCCTTGCAAAAAAAATTAGATGACCAACGAATGTTTGACAGACCAACACATTTGTTGGGTAAGTGGACGAAGGCTTCCAAAAACACCTAGAGCATATATTATATTATGACAAGGCTACTGAGTACTGACTTAGGCTATCTCATACATAAGAGGATGACCAACATGCTACTGCAGGAACGCATGACTAGAAAAAGGAGTTTGATGGGCTGCTCAGGATCTCAAATTTTATTTTGGTCAAATCAAATACAAAACTCACTACAACAAATGGGACCTTCTGTGACGAATAAATAATGACAATAGAGTTATCTGTCACTAAGACACTCTTTTTATGACGATTGACATGAGCCAGTCCATCTTAATGACAAATAAATATTCTCTGTCATTAAGTTCAACACGAAATCGTCATAACCTATTTTACCATTGTGCATTGTGCTTGTGATGATGTGTATGACAATTCGTACTTGTCATAAATTGTAGTTGATTTAAAAAAATTGCCTACATATATAATCCACGTTGGCATGCTTGGCCCACTAGCAAGGATGGGGCCTTGCTGCCACATGTGGAGAAGCATCCACACATGTTAGTATTAAAGCTAAAAATTAGAGAAAGAGAGAAAACAAACAAGTTAGTGTTAAATGTAAAATCTAGAAAAAGAAGCTTCTGCACGTGTTAGTATTAAAGGTAAGAATTAGAAAAAAATAAAGAAAACACACCTGCTAGTATTATTATTATTAAAAAAAAGAAAACATGGCTCACGTGGGAATCGAACCCACACCATACAATACAATGTCTTACCACTGGAATATAATATTGCTGGACATACCTATATGGTCCTGCTGTTTCGGCACATTTCGTTGGTTTCAAAGTAAATTAGCCAATGTTGTGTTTTTTCTCATAAAAATATAGAAGACTAAAGTTTATTTATATTAAGTTTATTTATATTGACAATGCATGACTGCAAACAACTATTTCACATTTGGGCTGGTTCCTCGCTCGGTGAAATTTTCACCACCCGCGAAAACTACCGCCGCCCAGCGGCTAACCTCGTCAGACCATTTTGGACAAAATCCCTCTTTTGTCCAAGATCCAATTACACTGTCGCACCACATGTCGGGGTATTCCAGTAAAATATGTAGGCATATCTCCTCACATACAAATGAGCGGCTGACATCCCCATTGAACCCTAGCCAAAACATTTGGTACTCCTAGCCAACACCCGCCTCATCTCTCCGAGCTTGCCCTCCCCAGTCCCCAATCACGTCCATCCCAAGACCAAGATGGCTCCAGGAAGGAAGGTGCGAGCAAAGGCGCTGACCACCCTCAGGTAATATCGTAAGGATCCATCCATTGTTGCTGCGAGATCTGAGTTTTTTGGGTAGCAATAAGGTTTGAGGGCTGCAATGGGGAGAGGGGGTGCAGTTCTGGGAGGAGTAGGGACAAGAGAGGGGGCGGCACTTTCTGTTGGTGGAGGAAGAGAAGGAGCAGGGCGCTACTGAGGAAGGTGCAGGGGCACTAGTCTAAGTGTGGGATTGGAGCAGCATGCTGGAATTGCATCTGCAGATCTGCTGCTAATGGTGGAGTAGAGGGGATCGGTCTTTCAAATAAATAAGTAGTTATTGAGATTGCTAAAATCAGTGACTTTATAAATCTACATGATTTGGGTGAAGAAAATCTATTTCTTTTAATTTAGCACATCAATTTCTGAAGGCTGATATTTGGGTGATTTTTTATATAAAACTTAGCATATGGATGGTTGGATTTAGTAACTTGGCATATGGATGGTTGGATTTAGGAACTGTTTGGTAGTTCAAGGAAAATTAGATTGTTTAATATTATCTTGTTGCTGTGACTTCCATGAACAACTTACTGCTTATGAGGAGCAATTTGTAGCTGTCTTAGCCCTGTTTGCCATCTCATCTGTAGGTATAAAAATGACTGTACCACGCATTTTCTGTTTATCATGGACATTTGCTTACTATTTTTTTTTCAAAATGGTTGTACAGAAGCACCATTAACTGAATATGAAAAGATGAGGGACAAAGAAATAATGAAGAACAACCAAAAGATGGCATCACTTGGGATTCGAGGAATAGCAAACCAAATGAAGAAAAAAAGTGCAAGGAGCAAGGACAATGGTCCTAAGCTTTTAGGATCTTTATTCAACCCTCAGGGCAGTGATGGTGGTGAGGACAATGAGGGCTCTGAACAAGAGATAACTACCAGCGTACTAATAGTTCTTAGTATTCGAATGTTTCCTATATTAATGCTAGTTCTTAGTAATTTTTTTCTGTAATTCTTTTTATTTTGGTCTAATTATTCTTGTTTGATGCCTATTGAGGTTTCTCAGGTTGCTAAGGATGCCCAAGATAGTGTTAACTTCTCTGCTGGGGTTTCAAGAACATTAAAGAGAGTGGTGGCACCTTAGCAACAAGAGGGAACTACTATAGTCACCTGGCAAACAACTGCTGCTACCCTAAGAATTACTGCTGCCACACGTGACGAAGTGGTGCCTACTGCTAGTGCAAAGGCAGAATGAGGACATTATCCACCTTAGTGATCTAGGCAAGTCCATCCTAGATTGGGGTTTCTATTTCACGTAGAAGCTTTTGTTCTTTATCATGTGTCGGTACGAAATGTGACCAACAATTAAATATTTGTAGTTTTGCCGTGCGTTGTGATTAGATATGGTCTAACACTCAATGACACATAATTTATATTGGTTTAGGCAATGGGTCTTACGTCTAGTTGATGTCGGTTGGCGACTTTATTTCTAAGCTTAGATGCTTGAAGTTTGCTGTGGCGTTACAAACGAGTAAGAAATGAGAAGGAAAATGTTAGAGGCTCGGTCGGGCTCTTAACCGAGTGGAAGAGAGTGACGGATGCTCAAACGTGCGCTAAGTGTTAGAGGCATGTGTATTTGCTTGGCGAAAAATTGACATCCTTCACAACGTTGGACGAGGTCTGGATCGAGGTCAAAAAACCATTTCGAAAAGCTGAGATGGTTTCTCGAGGGCAGCGTGGGAACGAGTGAATTTAAAGAAGTAGTTTCACTCCCTCTTCTTGGGTGATGTATTTCTGTAGTATCTCTTCCTTGGCACTTTTTCTCATCAAATTCCCGTCCACCAGTACGTAATGCTTGCTTCGACGGATTAGGTGTTCGGTTTTAGTCTTGTCGACGGGTACGTCGGCGCTGGTGAGGTACTTGATAAACTGTTCTTTCCAATCGACGGTCGGCGAACGTACTGTAAGTACCAGCTGCTCGGCGGGGGGAATTTCTTGCACTTCCTTCTCTTCCTTAATGGATGGCGCAAAGAGATCTTGGACGAAGACACTAGGCGGAATCGCGGCGTGAGAAGATCCTATCTTAGATAGGTGGTCGGCGAGTTGATTCTGATCTCGTACCACGTGGTGGTACTTGATGCCGTAGAACTTCCCTTTGAGTTTTTGATTTTGATGCAATATGTGTCCATCTTTTCACTAGAGTAGGATTTGTCTTTGTTGAGCTGGTTGATGACCAGCGCGGAGTCCCTATATCATGAGGCGTTTGACGCTGAGTTCAATGGCTATACGGAGTTCATGGAGACACGCTTCGTATTCGGTGGTGTTATTGGAGGCTAGAAAATGTATTTGGAGAACATATTAGAGCTTATCCTTGGCCGGTGTAATGAACAGAATGCCAGCACCAGCATCGTTGATGTTGAGGGCGTCGTCGAAGTACATCATCCAGTGCTTAGGGCAAGTAGCGAGGATGGGCTCTTGGATCTCGGTCCACTCAGCGAGCGCCTATGACTTGATTGTAGGTTTGCTTCTGAATTCAATGTAGTAAGTGCCGAGCTCAACAACCCACTTGATGATGCGGTTGTTGGCCTCTGTGTTGCGGAGGATGTCTCCCCAGAGGGAATTCGGTGACCACGACGATCTTGTAATACTCGAAGTAATGGCGGAGCTTACGTGACGTGATCAGAATAGCGTATAGCAGTTTCTGAACTTGAGGATAACGAGTTTTGGGCTCATTAAGGACCTCGCTGATGAAGTAGATTGGACGTTGCACCTTATAGGCATGCCCGGTCTCCTCGCGTTCGACGACGATAGCTGTGCCAACGACGCGAGAAGTGACGGCGATGTAGATTAGAAGAGTTTCATCAGGCCGAGGCACCGTCATGATCGGAGGCTTTGTTAGAAACAACTTTAGCTTCTCGAAAGCTGTGTCTGCCTTATCTGACCAGGAGAAGCGCTCAAAGGCCTTGATGAGTTTGAAGAACGGTAGTCCCTTTTCACCGAGGCGCGATATAAAGCGGCTGAGAGCAGCCATGCAGCCCGTAAGCTTCTGTATATCCTTTACGGACGTTAGGCGTTTCATGTTGGTGATGGCGGAGACCTTGTTGGGGTTGGGCTTGATGCCACGGGCGCTGATGATGTAGCCCAGGAGTATACCGGATGAAACTCCAAAGATGCACTTTGAAGGGTTCAACTTACATATGTACCTTTTTAGGTTGGTGAACGTTTTTTCGAGGTCGGCGATGAGATTATTGGCGGTCTTGGACTTGAGGACCACATCATCGATATAAGCTTTGACGTTGCGGCCTATCTGTTGATCAAGGCACATCTGGATGGCTCTTTAGTAGGTTGCCCCGATGTTCTTGAGTCCGAAGGACATGGTGGTATAGCAGTATGCAACAAAATGTGTGATGAACGGCGTCTTAATCTGGTCATCTTTCTTGAGGGATATCTAATGATAGTCAGAGTAATAGTCGAGGAAGGAGAGTAGTTCGCAGCCGACGGTGGAGTCTACAACCTCGTCTATTCGAGGCAGACCGAAGGGGTCTTTAGGGCAGTGTTTGTTAAGATTAGTGTAATTAACGCACATTCTCTATTCTTTATTCTTTTTTAAACGAGAACAGGGTTTGCTAACCACTCAGGATGATACACTTCTTTTATGAATCGACAGTTATGAGCCATTTTATTTCTACCCTAATAGCCTCTTCTTGTCCGGCGTGAATCGTCGGAGTTTTTGCTTGATCGGTTTGGCGGTCGGTGAGACATTGAAGGAGTGCTCGATCTTCTCCCGTGGTACCCCGGCATGTCTGTAGGTTTCCAAGCAAATGTGTTGGGCTGGCATGTAGGAAGGAGATGAGCGTGTTTTCCTATTTGGGGTCGAGGTGAGCCCCAATCTTCACGGTCTTGGAGGGGTCGTCGAGGCCGAGGCCGACCTCCTTTGTTTTCTTGGACTTGGCGGAGGCACGTGGATGCTCCAGCGCTGGGATCTCTAGGTCGTCGGCGGGCACGGTCTTGGCGTTGGTGACCACGCTAGCCATATGGATGGAGAGGTCGGTGGCTTCGGTGAGGACGAGACTTTCTGTCTCGCAGGCTTAGGTGATGGAGAGGTTGACCCGCAGGGTTAGGACTCCTACAGCGAAGGCATCTTCAGCACTAGATAGGCGTAGTGCGGTATGGCCATGAACTTGGCCAGAGCTGGCCAACCAAGTATGGCGTGGTAGGCGGTGTTGAAGTCAGCAACGTAGAAGTTGATGTGCTCGACGCGGTAGTTGCTGGCCGCCCAAGTATGGCGTGGTACTAGGAAGGTGATCTCTCCGAGTGGTTTGGATGCCCTACCAGGTACCACACCCTCGAAGAGTCGGAGGGTGTGAGGTCTCCTATCTCGAGGCTTAGCTCCTTTAGGGCTCCCGCGAAGAGGAGGTTCAGAGCACTTCCGCCGTCAACAAGCACTTTTATGAAAAGCACTTTCTGGACGGTTGCGTCAAGGATGAGGGGGAAATGCCTTGTGTAAGGGATGTCCACCCACTGATCGGCCCTGCTGAAGGCGATGAGGACCTCGGACCATAGGCAATAGCTAAGGTTGGCGACGGTGTCTTCCGCATTGACGGTGAGCACCCGGCGGGCGGTGAGCTTCCGATATCTTCTGCTCTTCGGCGGCGATGAGGCCCCCGAAGATGGTGGCGACCACTTTATCGTGATCCTAGAAGGTATTGTTGTTGCCCCTAGGTGGTCGGCGACCTTCGGCTCCGTCATTGTTGTCGTCGTCCGGCTTTTTAGCCTAGAACTCCTTAGCCAAGCCGAGAAAGTCCTTCATCTTATGCTTGGCGTTTTTGTGGAGAGGGCATGGGCCATCGAGGATCTTCTTGTACTGCTCGTCGTAGTTGCGCTTAGCGTGAGGTTCATCAATAGCAGCGACGATATGGTCTGGTCGGCGGCGGTGATATTGACTAGGTCTAGATCCTTCTGGCCGATTATGGCCGCTATCACGATGGTGACTGCGGTCGTCGTAACGGCGGTCGCTGTGGCATCGGTCGTCGGGTCGCTCGTCATTGCGTTGAGTTGGGCGATGAGTGCCCGCGTCCTTTGTTGAAGCGTACTTCGGCTTCTTCGGCGTCCCCGTGGGTGGCTTGCGGTTGAACTTGGAGCGGAGGTCGCGGTGATAGAGTCCTCGGACGAAGGCGGTGATGACCTTAGCTTCTGTGATGTTGGGAATAAAATTCTCATCTCGAAAAAGCATCTGATGTAGCCATGGAGGAGCTCGAATGCCTTCTGGTAGATGCGGTTTAGATCATGCTTGGTGCCCGGCCGAGTACACGTAGCCATGTAGTTGTTGGTGAAGACCTTCTTCAACTCTTCCTAGGATCCGATGGAGCCCGGGGTGAGACTTGTGAACCAATTCATCGCGGTTGGCGTGAGTATGACGGGAAGATAGTTCATCATGACACTGGTATCTCCTCCGGCGACGTGCACAGCAGTAGCGTAAGCTTGTAACCACTGTGTGGGGTTCATGTAACATCCCTGATGTTAAAAAAAATAATTAAGAAAGTGATCACGTCATCATAATGCATAATCATCATGCATCAACTCATGAGTGCATTTCATGTTTATATTATAGTATGCAAATGTAATTTTATGGAGTGTCTTATATATTACCTGAAATAATATTAATAATAATGATTAGGAAACTTTGTGAATCTTGATGTGGGAATCTTTTAAACAAGTCAAATTCTTCCTTAATAAAAGTTTTATAATTTTTGTTGCAATGCGTGGTGTGAAACTTGTTTTATGATATGTGTTGACTTGTATGGATGAATCAATTTCAAAACATTTGTGTTTAATTGGATTTCTGAAAACCCGAATTTCTAGCATTTAATTCTACCCTGAAAACTCATTTCAAAATCTAAGCACATTTTTGGATTGAGCCTAAAAGCAAAATTGTAGAGCTTGTCAAGTTATACAAAGTTTGTTTTTGGAGTTTTCAAAGTTGTTTAGAAAAATTTGAAGTAATTTGAAAAGGCGTAATTCTTTAAATGTCCCCTTTTTGAATTCAAACTTGCATTTCAAAATGTAGATCGAATTTGGGTATTATTATAAAAGCAAAGTTGTAGAACTTTGAATTTTGAACAACTTTTATTTTTGGAGATTTTT